TTCATCAATATTACTCCAATTTTGATGAAATTTTGGGAAGTACTTCATATTAGTATGAAACCGATTAGCTCCAAATTTGAAGTCTATCTGACTTGTGGTTTGTATTGAAATGCCGCTGAGATTTCCTATTGCAACTTTGAATTAAAATTGTCAAAATACTATTCTCAAGCACAATAAAAATACTGTGAGTGCAGTGAACGACATTCCAGTTGGGCGGGATGTGAGAAATTGCCTCATGAGGCTCTGCCTCATGAGCTTATCCAAGGGGGGGGGGAATAGCTCAGGTGGTAGAGCATCGGTTTCTTAACTCAAAGGTCGTGGGTTCGATCCCCGGATTCCCCGGATTATTTCCGCAAGGATTTATCCGTCCCTCCCCTGGGGAATCCGGATAACAAGGGCTGCGTACGAAGACGAGGACCGAACTTCGAAGAAGATCGGTCGAAGCACGAGGTATGAAGCGTTGAGCGAAGTAAAAACCGAAGATTACACACCGCCCCTGGTCGAGCAGGCGCGTTACAATTGGCGAAGCGGTTCCATAACATGTGGTTCTAGTGTCGGCCCTCGCGAGGAATGTCTTAAAAATGATAATCCAAACTCAATTAATCATGAGCTTATCCGAACAGTAACCGGAAATACTGACCTAATTGAACCTAAATGAGTTCAGCATAATACAGACGTGCCAGTAAGACCAGAAATCACTTCACATACAAACACCAAGTAAACGTACTTCGTCGTTGAACAAGCCTTGTCTGGGAGCGGCACGGCCTTACGGCCTACCTGCCACTTTTCCCGACAAGAGGAATAGATAGATCAATCGGTGAAATGAGAGGTTTAGATCCGCGCTCTCGTACGGCCGCGCTTGCGCAGACGGCCTCCCGGGCGCTCGGGGCCTGCTGTGATGTAAGTCGGAGTAACAATTCACTAGCGGTTCAGGAAAAAAGAAAGACTTCAAAAGGTATTGATCCCAGCCAGGACCTCAGGGTTACGAACCCAACACGCTGACCACTAGCCCAGTGGCCCATTATGATGTGGCTTGGATTTTATGCTATCTGTGGTAACCTCTGTTACTCACAGATATCGGTACTAGATACTACCTCTGTTATGTAAATATTGCAAGCGGGGTCAGATGGTAAACTTCTAGGCCTCTGATTGGCAAACAAATTAGTGGACTGTGACCGCTGGGTTCTGTTCTTTACGCTCGTATTTTTGCTTGAATTATATATTCAGTTTCCACTTTTTATCGACATGCGAAAATCCAATACAAAAACCAAGGCAAATTTGACCGACGAGCAGCGGGTCTCATTGTATCAAGATCTACTGGAGAAATCCATAAACGGCAAGCTCAGTCGCGACACCATGGACGCAGTTTGCTCCACGTATGGCGTCAATCCAACGACCGGCTGGCGAATCTTCAAGCGAGGGCAGGCCACGAAGGCTGCCAGTGGCGTCGCCAATGTGACAGCGCGAATCAAGGGAAACACCGGGCGGCGGCCGACGTATTCCCCTGACGAGGTGGAACAGCGTGTCAAGGCCGTTCCGCTTCACAAGCGGCAGACGTACCGATCTCTCGCAGCAGCGACAGGACTGTCCGTTTTTCTCGTCTGGACCTACGTGAGAAAGAAGTGGATGACACGCCGATCAAGTTGGACACGCCCGTACCTGAAGGACAACCAGAAAACAGCTCGTCTAGACTTCTGCAGTGCCTTCACTACAGGTAGCAATAGCATTGATGACATGTTTAACGTGGTTCACGTTGATGAAAAGTGGTTTTACCTCACCAAATTGCGCCGTCGTTTTCTTGTTTGGCGCGACGAGACGATCATGCCACGACACCTACAGTCCAAATCGCACATCACCAAGGTCATGTTTTTCGTCGCGGTTGCCCGGCCGCGAGACGATTGGGATGGCAAGATTGGCTGCTGGGAAATTGTTGAACGCGTGCCGGCGCAGCGGAGCAGCCACAACCGACCTGCTGGAACAGAAGTGTTGAAGACTGTGACCGTGACGAAGGACGTTTACCGGAAACTCCTCGTGGACTTCGTTGTGCCCGCCATCAAAGACAAGTGGAAGTGGCCAGCAGACGATACACGGCGAACAATCGTCATCCAACAAGACAATGCGCGCCCCCACATCGCAGCTGACGATGCTGCATTTGTTACGGCAGCCCAAGATGGAGACTGGGACATTCAGATCCAGAATCAACCTGCACAGTCGCCCGATCTGAATGTCCTGGATCTGGGATTTTTCAACTCCATCCAAGCGCTGCAGCAAGCCCTGGAATGTCAGACGATGGAAGAGCTCATTGGTGCCGTGAAGGAAGCGTTTTCGAAGCTTTCCCATGTGAAATTGGACAAGACGTTCAAGAATCTCCAGCGTGTTATGCAAGTTATCATCGAGGCCAAAGGGGACAATCGGTACAAGATGCCGCGGAGCAAGGTGACGGATGAAGACGAAGTTGCACTTGCCCTGATGACTGCGAGACTTGAGGAAGAAGATAGATTAGAAGAAGTGTCTAACCTGCTCAGCAATATGATTGTTTAATTCTATTAAATTAAGATTCATATTACTTGCAATTTGTATAGGTTCGAATGTCTGCTTGCAATAGATACATAACAGAGGTAGTAAATCGGTAAGACAAGGATTATTCCGGATAATATTCGGATGAGGCTGTGCCTCATGAAAGCTGCTCCCCCGTTGGACCTTACTTTTACTTCGAAGTACTACCGAAGTTTCTGCAAATCTATCCAATCATATTTGAGAACATTTGGGCTAAACTAAGGATTGGTCTAAATAAGCCAATCATATTGGTATCCATGGCCATATTCGAAGTACCACTGTAGTCCAACTTGGATCAAGTTATTACTACAGTATTGCATTCTGTAAAAAAATACCGTCAAAATTCGTTTTTGGTTACTTGGCGTCCCCCTACTACACCTTTTTACAGTATAATTAGACGAATGCCCGATATATTTGGCCGTGTGCCCGATATATTTGGCGGTCTGCCCGATATAATTGGCCATGTGCCCGTTTAATTTGGCTCACGGATGTCGTGTGCCTGATATATTTGGCGGTGTGCCCGACTGTAATTGTCTCATGCCTCGTTGCTGTGACGTGTACCAAAACCCATGTTGCCCATGGCCTCCGCGCGTCCATCGAGGGTGCCATCTTGAGGTAAATCGGAAAATGAGCTCTGCGCAAGACAGATCCAAATTTCAAATTTTGTTGAGTTGAAGTATAGGGGCAATACTTCAATTGACATCATAACCGGAGTTCATGGGGGTGCAGCTACGTCCATGTTGTGCGTTCCTTGGCGATTTGAATCATGAGCATTCAATATGTTGGATGTGCGCGCATTATGAACTTATACTATACTTTATTCAAGTACTCAGAGTATACATTTCGAATTCTTGCCTTCGCGCGTTTTCCTCCGAACTTCAGCCACATGATGTTTCCACCAAAACTGATTTGCACTCCATCTGAAATTTTATTATTTGAGTTGTTCCATTTTCATCGGGCACACGACACAATTCATCGGGCAGATGGCCAATTACTTGGGCACACGGCTAATTATATCGGGCACACGACATCCGTGAGCCAAATTAAACGGGCACATGACCAATTATATCGGGTAGACCGCCAAATATATCGGGCATTCGTCCAACTTTACTGTAAAAAGGTGTACTGTAGTTTTGCTAACACTGAGATGCTGAGATGGTATAAGTATACGAAATACTTCGAAGTATTAATACCATCCATATACTGGTACTATACGTATACTGTAGTTCTACTCCATGCTTTATTATATTTTACATTGAGGAAATTTGGCCTATCATGGCGACCCCTGGTCCAAATTGCGAATGACAATTTCTGAGAAAACAAACACATCCCAGTATCTTAGCAGCAAGCACTCTGCATGCGCATGCGGAAGGTCTTTTGGGACAGTACAAAAAAGGGTGCGCATGGCATGCCATGGTTCAGGGACATGATGTTAGAAAACTCTCATGACGTATGTCGCGTAGTGTCCCCCCCACACGAGCCCCAATTCCTTTCACTTATTTTTGAAATTGCTTCATGAAGACCATTGCCATTCTCGCGCTTGCCTTGTCGACTGCAGCAGTTGCTGTGGGGACCACTGCCTTGATTCAAGGCACCAACGGCGAAGACCGCACCAACGCCACTAAAGTCCAAAGGTTGCAAGACGACATTGACATCAACCGCCAGTGCCACCATGACAACCATCCCAACGAGTACCTCGAGACGTTGACAGCTGGCCAGTACACGAGCAGCAAATTCTACAATTGTTTCCGCTCGTCGGATCAAATCTACGAGTACGTGGATGCGTTGGCCAAAAAGAACCCCACTTTGTTGAAAAGAGAACCGATATCGACCTCCTATCATGGCAAGAATATCTACGCGTACAAACTGACCAGAAGCCCGTCCAAGAACAACTCGTTGGTCTTCCAAAGCCTGGTCCACGCCCGGGAATGGATCACGGGGTCGTCCAACTTGTTTGCATTGTCTTCAATTCTGGACGACATTGCCAAAAACATAACCACCGTGGCGGACAAGTTTAACCTGTACTTTGTGCCGATCGTCAACATTGACGGGTACGACATATCGTGGATCGGCCATCGGCACCAGCTCAAGAGCGCGAACCAAGTCGACCTGAGCCTCAACTGGCCCGGGAAGTACATTAAACACGAACCCCTCAAGGAGACTGCCGAACATTACCCTGGCAAAAGCCCGCTCAGCGAGCAGGAAACTACGGGGATCTCAAATTGGATCAGAGACAAGCAATCAGAACTCGCCGGCTGGGTGGACCTGCTATCCACCGGCGGTTTGGTTTTGTACCCTAATGAGACGGACACCACCAGCAAGGGCAAGTTTAAACGGCTTGGTGACAACGTTGCCGTCGAAGTCGGCTACACGGCCCAGGCGACACCTCATTTGAACATTCCGTTCGGGACTTTTCCCTACTACTTCTACCCCGCGTACAGAAAGCCCGTGTTAACCATTCATGTGGCTGGTTCGGATTTTGTCGCTCCCGCGTCGACCATCCGTATCCGCGGCAAGGAAATAGTCAAAGCCTTGACTAAATTTGGCGATGAAGTTTCGATTTTCGAGGACAGCAGAGAAAGCTGTTAAAGCAGGTCCAAGTTCTCACCACCCTGTACCCCCATGACACTCCTAAGTCCCTCATTGAATGAAGTCAATGTTTTCAAAACCGTCTTCCCTAAGTTCCATCCAATATGTCGACCACCATCCCTTCTACCTTTATCATACTGTACCCACAACCTGCGTCATTACGACCGATCCTAAACAGCTCCACAGAGACGCTAGTGTTCACAACTCAAAACGATTGAGCGGTCGACAAAGTCGCGCAACGGCGGAGATTTACACGTGAGATCTCTACGTACTACGGTAGTGAAAATGGCGGAGAGGTTGCGAAATATTTCCAATTTTGGGGCCGTAATGAAAGCTAAATGTAGGGGCCGTGATGACTGAGTTCGGTGGATCATCATCGCCTCCCATTGGTCACTCTGACATCGCTGCTTTCTGATTGGTTAAAAACATTTTGGATATAAAGGCGAAAAAAAATCGATAATATTAACACGCCCCTGCGCTAGTGTGCTGACAGGAATTTAGAAATGACGCTCCGCGCATGAAATATCACTTACTGTTAAGTAACTTGAAACAAGCCAAATGTGTACCCAACAACGTGCTCCACAAAGAGCCTGGACAACCTCGGAAACCAGGCGCTCTGGAACCTACATAAGTTACGTCGAAGTATATTCTTCATTCTCCGGGGTTTGGCGAATCGCCAGGTTAACTATCGCTAATCCCTGGTAATGCGCCGAACCCCTCAAGAAAATCAGAAGCAAGCCTACCTCCGTTACGCTGGGAAAGGCCGCGCACCTCCACGCAACGCTCAATGTTCGACGAAATCATGGTAATAGTGGCCTCCAATGCGAATTCGCAATTGTTGTAGATCGATTTCCCGTAGCAATTTGATCCGTTAGTGTTGCACGGAGAAATTCCCGTTAACAGATAATCCACACCTTTGAATTGTCCCTAAAAGGCATATTTTCACAGTGTCAGTTTTTGACCGAATATATGATCGTGATTAAAGTATGCTGGATTATATTGACCTCCATTTTCATCTTGATTAAACTATGCAAGATTATCTTGACCTTGATTTTTACACTGATTAAAATATGTGACATTTTTAGGCTTCGGATTGTATACTCGGGTGCTCACCATTTTTTACCAGTTTCTACATAGCAGTACGTTATCAACATAAAGACTAGGTGAGCCCGTTGCCCTGCCGCCGGTGTTAATTGTCGGTTGGAGCAAGATATGTAGCTTTTGTTGCTGCTTATTATTGTTGTCATAGTTGAGCCTGGCATAGTTTTCAGACATTTTCTGTTTTGTATTATGCGTTTTCAAAACTCTACTATCTGCGGTACAACGGGGTCCGGTATTTTGCGAGAAGATGGGAATCAGTCCTTTTGCGGTGTGGTCCACTGAAATAGTATAGGCTACGGTAGAAACCTTGCAGCTATGCTAAGACTAAGCCGTGCATCTAAACTCATTTTGCGAGAAGATGGGAATCAGTCCTTTTGCGGTGTGGTCCACTGAAATAGTATAGGCTGCGGTAGAAACCTGTGCATCTAAACTCACTAACGCTGTGATCTTTGACGTGTGGCGTGTTGACTTGAAAGCAGTTAGCTCCACCTCTCAGGAACATCCAATAACGCCGCCGTTTGACACGCGACGTGTATGTCAGAATGCATGTCGGTGCCACCTTGTGGGTATGTTCAATCGCATCGCTATTTATCTCGTGACATGTTTGTCAGAATACAGTCGGCGCCATCTCGCGGTTACTCCAATAGCTCCGCATATTGACTCGTGATATGTTGGTCAGAGTACAGTCAACCCATCTTTCCGGCACGACCGCTGTGTTGGATGTGGTGAACAGTACTTACGTATACACTTCGGAAGGAGTTCGTCATTCAAGAAGCAGTGTTTTCGAACTATCGCGTGTCCGTGTTGTGTGTGTTGATGCCGTAGTAACTTGATGTGCAGGATGATTTGCTTCGTTGAGTACAGCGAGGGTTTCGGATCTGTACATATTTATGTTGAACAACGTGACGACCAACACGTCCGTCTATTGAAAATAGCTTGGGCTTCCTATATTTGCTATGATGGTTGATGGTACGATAGGGGAAATACGGGATGGTACGTATGATGCAGAATCGTTTATTGCTGCAAAAAGTAGGTTGTGCTCATGACCGTTATGTGAATGGATGTGTGCACGATATTTAGTCTGATGGAGTATTTAGATTTCGTCATTGGCAAAAATGGAGCGGTACACGACGTTCTGGGCGTAGATTCCTTCGAATCCGGGGAACTTGCCGTCCCGCACTAACACAGAGATCCCAGCCTTGGTTTTGGCTCGAGACAGTGCAACATACAGTTGTCCGTGAGAGAACACCGGGCTTGGCAAGATAAGTCCCACGCGACTTAACGTTTGGCCTTGAGACTTGTTGATGGCCATAGCAAATGCCAACTTCACTGGAAACTGGCGTCGCTTCAACTTGAAAGGGAGGTTGGATTGGCTGCCCTCGTCGATCAAGGTGATGCGCGGTACGAAGACTCGCTTGTTGTCAAATGCGCCGCCCATGATAGTTGCCTCGATGCACTTGGTTGACACTTTGGCAACCCGCAATCTTGTCCCGTTGCATAGGCCCTGTGAGGGACAAATGTTGCGCAAAAGCATGACTGGACATCCCACCTTGAACTCGAGCTTGTGCGGTGGCAAGCCGGATATGTTGATGGAATTCAGGAATTCGGAGGGAAATTCCATGGCCGTGTCGTCAACATCCTCGCCTTCTTGCTCGACTGAATCGGCTGCGAGGCAAGTAAACATGGCAGATCTGTTCATCTTGCGCAGCACTGTGGCGTTGTATTCATCGACCCCGACGTTCTTGGGTGCCAAAATCGCTCGTTCAGACATGTACTCCGGGGGGTTGGCCGGGTTATTGATGTCACCATAGATTTGGTCGATGTACGCGTTCAGGTCTTGGTCGGTTTCCCAGTTCCTGGCAATTGCATCCGGCAGTCGGATCATGGGAGAGCCGTAGATGTCTTGTTCTGGATACGTTCCGTTTCCAATGTCAACCAACGTCTTGGCCCATTCCTCGATACTTGCGTCGTCTGATCCACCACGCAGCCGCAAGTTCTTTGTCAGCTTGACAATTTTCACGTCGTTCCAGATGCTGCTGCGTCTGAAGGAGGCCTCCACAGTAGCCGATGGTGTGCCGCGTGGAATAATTGGCAGGATTTGCTTGAAATCGCCCGAGAAAACAACAACCTTGCCGCCAAACAGAGCTGTGGGATTGTCCATGATGTCGCGAAGGGAACGGTCGACTCGACGTCCTCCAAGGCATGCTTGTGGATCATTGAGACCTCGTCCCATACAATGAGCTTGGTGTCTCGAACGATCTTTGCCAATGACGACTGCTTCGGAATGTGGCATAGGGACTTGTCATTGAGGTTGGTGACGGGGATTTTGAATCACGAATGTGCCGTTGTGCCGCCCATAAGCAGCAAAGCTGCCAGCCCAGATGATGCCACAGCAAGCGCGATGTCCCCTTTGTCGCGCACTTTTGCCAACATGATTTGAGAGACGTACGACTTTCCTGAGCCTCCTTCGCATTGGAGGAAGTACGCCTTGCCTGATGCGTGATCGTATATTTGGGCCAAAACGGTCGTCACAAAGGACCTGTGCTCGTCAGTCATGGTCGCAGCAGTGACCAACACGTCGTCGAGGGCTGCACGCGTGTACGACGTTTCAATGACATAAAGCCGACTTATTGGATCGTCCAGTGGTCGCCGTTCGCCCAAGTCTCGGAATACTTCGAATTCGTGGAGTTGAGGTAACGTCGGGTAGTCCAAAAGGCTCAACCGATGGTGTTGGAAGCAGTTGTCGATGCTCTTGAGTGTGTAGAACATCGCCTTGCCAAGCATCATGTCTTCACTGAGCGGCTCTTGGAGTGTTTTGTTGCAGCGGCGCAGGTTCCGAAGCCGCTTGTCCATGAAATCTGTTTTGAATTGGTCAAACAGAGATCGCGTGCTCGCAAGCAGGCAATGCACCAAGATGTTGGCAAACAGTTCGTGCAGCTGTCCGTCCATGCAGTCCAACGTGGCTTGTCGAATACATACCACATACTCTTCGTCGTTTTCCAACAGGCCCATGGACAGTGCAGCTTCTTCGTACGTTGGATACAGAGTTCCGTGAACTGTGCGCAGATCTTCGAAGGTAGTTGGTCCATATTTATGGCAAAGCAGGGTTCGAATGTAGAACCGCTCCTTTTGACGCGGACTGACCGAATCAATGCGGCCAATGACCTTGATGTGGTTCTTGCGTCCAACCCACAACTTGGTCTTTTGTTCAAATCGGAAGTACTGCGGGAAGTCCAAGTACAGGCAGTTCTTTGCAGGAACGCCGTCGATCCCGGTCAAGCCTTGCGCGCAAGCGAGGAAGAAGAATGTCAATTTGGTCTTTTGGTTCCTGGCAACGACCGATTCTGCGTCGTGGGTTTCGTCGTAGGTGCAATGCTGTTGATCTTTCTCGTGCACGGGCAATACTTCGACAGCGTGGGACATCCTTTGCAGGTCGTAGCAGCGGATGCGTGTGATAGCTTCGAGGGAGCTCACGTAGCGTCCTTCAACGTACTCCCGTGCTTCGTCAAGCATGGGCTGGCGTTCCCGGTCAGTGAAGACAGCGTACGTGATCCAATCGGTGCCCTTGTACACGTACTTGTACAGATACTTGACGGCGTTGATGCTTGTGCAAACCTCGACGTTGATGTGGCAGTTGTACTTGTGTACCAAGTACAGGTTGTGTGGCACACAGTACTGGTCTGCGGCCGTGTCGCGACGGTACTTGGCATACCCATCGACCCCCTCGGTTGTGGTAGCTTACAGGGGC